ATCAAGGTTGTTGCAAAAGGATGTGTCATACAAGATGAGTCAAGAATGTAAAGAGGCATTTGAAAAGCTCAAAGCAGCCTTAACTTCGACACCAATAGTTCAACCACCTGATTGGACGTTGCCCTTTGAAATAATGTGTGATGCTAGCAATTACGCTATTGGAGCAATTTTGGGGCAACATATTGACAAGAAACCACACGTGATCTCCTATGCATCCAAGACACTCAATCCGGCTCAGTGCAACTACTCTACAACCGAAAAAAGAGCTGTTAGTTATTGTTTTTGCATTAGATAAATTTCGATCTTATTTGCTTGGCTCTAAAGTGATTGTACTTTTTGATCATGCAGCTTTAAAATATCTTTTGTCCAAGAAGGATTCAAAGCCGAGATTAATTAGATGGATTCTTCGATCTTGAGATTAAGGACAAGAAGGGAGCTGAAAATTTAGTAGCGGATCACTTAAATAGGTTGGTGAGAGAGGAGACGACCGAGCCATTAAAGGAGCTATTTCCAAATGAGCACCTATTTGTAATGCGAGATATGGTTCCTTGGTATGCCGATTTAGTTAATTATCTAGTAGGACGAGTTATGCCTAATGACATGAGTAGAGCTAAGAAAGATAAGTTAAAAAGTGAGGCTAAATACTACACTTGGAATGATCCATACTTGTGGAAATATAGTGCGGATCAAATTATTAGGAGATGTGTGCCTGATGATGAGACTCACTCTATACTTGCTTTTTGTCATGCATATGCTTGTGGTGGTCACTTTGGACTTAAAAGAACAGCTGAAAAGGTGTTAGCTAGTGAATTTATTGGCCTACATTATTCCATGATGCATATATTTTTTGTAAAAAATGCGAACAATGCCAAAGAACTAGAGGTTTGACCTAGAGGAATGAAATGGTACAAACCCCTAAACTAGTTTGTGAGATTTTTTATGTGTGGGGTATTGATTTTATGGGGTCTTTTCCTTCTTCTTTTGGTTTTATTTATATTTTACTTGCTATGGATTATGTTTCAAAATGGGTGGCAGCAAAAGCCACCCGAACTGATGATTCAAAGGTTGTTGTAGGTTTTGTGAAGTCTAACATTTTTAGCAGGTTCGGCATTCTGAGGGCTATCATCAGTGATCAAGGAAGCCACTAATCAATCCATGGAAGCGTTGTTGAAGAAATATGGTGTATTTCATCGCACCTCGACCACCTATCATCCCCAAACTAATGGACAAGCAGAAGTATCCAATATAGAGGTCAAGTCCATTCTAGAGAGACTGTGAAACCAAATCAAAAAGATTGGAGCCTTTGACTTGATGATGCACTTTGGGCTTACTGAACTGCATATAAGACACCTATTGGGATGTCTCCATAAAAGTTGGTTTATGGCAAACAATGTCATATGCCTGTTGAGTTGGAACACAAGGCATATTGGGATGTGAAGATGTGCAATATGGAGATGGATAAAGCCGGACAAGAGAGGAAGTTGTAGTTGCAAGAATTGGAGGAACTCCGATTGGAAGCCTACGAGAACTCAAGAATTTATAAGGATAAGACCAAGGCGTTGCATGATAAGATGATTACAAGGAAGCAATTTGTTGTGGGACAAAAAGTGATGCTCTACAATTCACGTCTTCAATTGATTCTTGATAAGTTACATTCTCGTTGGATTGGACCTTTTGAAGTTACTAATGTGTTTCTTCATGGTGCAGTTGAAATAAAAAGCTTATCCACCAACAAAGTCTTCAAGGTCAATGGACATCGCCTCAAACCATTCTATGCCGAATTTCAAGAGTATACGATTGAGGAGATGCATCTTGTTGAGCTAAAGTACTTTGATTAGAAAAGCATCATTGGGTTGGGCCAACGACATTAAAAAAAGGCACTACTTGGGAGGCAACCCAAGGGTGACCGGTTGGTCACAATCAGTTATGTTATCTTTCTTTATCACTTTAGAATAATTCCGTCTATTTTAGTTCAATAAATGTCGCTTTCTTTATAGTGAGGGCACTGTAAACCTTAAGTGTGGGGGAGACAAATTTTGTTATGTGTTTAAACTCATTAACACATCGCATGCATAGAGGTTCATATCCTAAGCTTGGGGCATTACAATGTCCTGTGAATTTTTGATAAGCATACTTACCTCTTATTAACTGATTGAAGCATTACTTCTTGTGACGATATGTAGATTGACAACCTAGCAGCGAAAAATGATTGCATACCAAACTTTTAACTCTTTTTCTCTTAGGCCAGTCCTATATCTGGGTTTAAGTAAATAGGGAAAGGTCATCATTAAGGTAGAATGGAGCATAAAATGCACCTACCATCATTAAGGTAGGATGGAGCATAAAATGCACCTACCAATCCGAAATGAAAAGAAAAAAAAAATTAAGATGAGATGGAGCATAAAATGCACTCATCGGATATTTGAATGAAAAATAAATAAATAAATTTTAAGATGAGATGGAGCATAAAATGCACTTATCAAACACTAGAATGAAAAAAAAAAAAAAGGGAATCCTTATTTTACTACCTGGATTGTAGTGACAGGGAGAAAAAGGACGGGGTGAGTTGTGCATGAATTGGTCATGTTAGGTAGGAAGTCTCATGACTGATCAAGTTATTTGTGATATGAAGTGAAAGGAGATGAGTATACTTGTCTTTAGTTTAATTGACATTGCTAGTGGTCTTAGATGAGTATGTGGCCTCAAATGTTTGCATGGGCGTGTTTTACTCGAGGACGTGTAAAAAATTAAGTGTGGGGGAATTTGATAAGAGCATAATATTTAATATTTTTAATTCCTTTACATTTAGTTTTATGACCTATTTTCTATTTAAGTGAGCTGATTAATATATTTATTGAATTAGGGAAGCATTGAAGGTAAAAGAATAGATATGGAATATATTGTGCAATTTTCAGCTTTTAGGTCATTTCGATCTATGGAGCTTCAATTGAGGTTTGAATGGCGTTAGAGTTTCAGAAAGAGAAAGTGGTTTTCATGAAGTTTTTAGAGGACGTCTTAAGCTTTTTAGAAAGGTATGGTTTGTAAAAATCAGAGTTCATTTGGTCCTCCAAAAATTGTTTCAAAATCAGGCCTGGAAAGCTGATCAGAATCCTAATTGGAGTTGGATTCTTGTCCGACCCAATAAACTTCAGTCAGTCATAACCTGCGTTTCTGAAGTCCAAATCAGGTGATTCAAAAGCCAAAACTTATCTACACATCCAGGGCTACAACTTTCATCAAGAGCCTAAATCAATATTCAGTCGTTATCTGATAGAAGAATAGCTCACAAGTTCCAGCACGATTCTGTAATTTCTGTCAATCTGTTTTGATAAGGAATACCTATAATGTAGGAATTTGAGTTGTACACGACTTTGGAAGTGTCATATGTTTTTTATATGGGTTTGTTTGGTTAATGAGAGAATGGTGGAAAAAGGGGGAAAGAGAAAAAAAAATAAAAAATATGTCGTTTGTTTAGCAGGAAACGAATGTTTCTCGGGAAAAAAAAATTTCCCGCATGATCAAATTTTCCCGTATTTGATGGTTTTTGATTTCCCACAAAATCTGCATGAAAATTTTTTTCCTATGAAACTTGGTTATTTGTTTCACTGTTTGCCAATCTACCCCTATTTTAGCACACCACAACTCTTCTTGGCACTCATCTTCTCAGCCAACTCGTCAAAGAAGACTGCCTCTCAGTACTCATCTTCTCAGCCGACTGGTATCTTTTTTTTTTCTAGGGTGATATATATCTTATTTATTTTTAACAAACGCAATGTTATAAGCTTGGTGAGCTGAATCTTAACTTGAAAAAAAATAGATGATCATATATTAATTTGCAATGCAAAATAATTTATGTTAAAACAACAAAGAGAAAAATTATTATCAATTTCATGTTCTGTAGCCATATGGGTTGAGCCACTTTTGAATAATTATACATAAGGGTAATTCAAACAATTAAATAAAATTTCTTGTAATTTTCTTTCTTTCCAAACTATAAAATGAAATTTTCTTAAAATTTTCATCCTAATCAAACACATATAAGAAAAAAAAAAAATTTTCACTTTCTTATCTTTCACTTCACCTTCTATCACTTTCACTTTCTATCATCTTTTTTCTTTCTAACCAAACGAACCCTATGTATCTATGGTTTCCTGGAAGGAGAAAAAGGCAAAGCAAGAAAGGGAGACACAACAATTTTTATACAAACTTGGGTTTACCTAAGCAATGAGCAACTGATTTCCTTTGTTCGGTTGAAGGTATTCTAAGTTGGTATATGGTTTTGTGAGGCTTGGTTTAATTATTTAATATCAAATTCTATTTGAATGATATGATTCTCTAATTTATTGATGAGATTACATAGTTCTTTTGATTAAGGTGTACACTAATTGATGTTCTATGTGATGAATGCTAGATTAAGTTCTTGATCCGTAATTATCTTGAAACTTGATTGTAGTAGCAATTAGATTATACAGTTGTTTTCCAAACTTTTGTTATTAATCTGAGGGAATTATAAATTGGATTAATAGTTCTTTGCAAGTGGAGATTTGTTATTCAATTTTGTTGTTCTTAAGGTTGTTATTAATAGAAAGAGGATTCTTAATACCGAATTGATTAATAACAAGATTTAATATGAGTACTAGGCTTGTATTAATGTTTATAGAGATGAAGAAGGTCGTTTAGCATCTAAATGATCTTTGAACTAAGCTTTTGATAGGAGTTGATTGTTTGTGTGTCTATGATCAAATCCATAACCAACAGTTGAATTGTCTTTGACCCGACGTTTCATTAATTGATTCTTGTTAACGATTTGATAATCTGCTTTTGTGACAAACAAACCCCCCTTTTTATTCCAATATTATTGCACTTGTTACCAGTTAAGTTAATTCATTTCTCTGTGGTATTGACCCTTGCTTGCCACTGCTATATTTGTAGTGTAGAGGTAAGGAATTAATTTTGGCTGTGAACGACGCACACCAGTAGTCCATGATCTCCAATTGCCGATGCCTTACAAAAGGCGGTGTTTTGGCTCTTCACATGGGTGGTTATTCATTATGAAAAAACCTATGATCATAACTCTCTTAAACCCATTGAATGGGAGAACTATCCACCTCCCAGAATTCAAAGATCTTTCGAATGATTACCAGTACTGGATTGATAAAGATGACTATGAATATTTCATTTGTAAAGGTATATTATCTACAGATCCTTCTCAAGATGCAAATAATTATGAAGTTGTGGTCATTTATGGTGGCATGAGAACATTGGCATCCTGCAAATCAGGGGATGAAGCTTGGACTTTCTTGGATTTGAAAGAAGATTACTTATTTTCTGATGTTATTTACTATGAAGGTCGACTCCATGGTGTCACTGAAAGGGGTGGACTCATATGTGCTGATGTTATCAATGGTACTAGTAAAGTTGTTATTGAACCAAGAAAGATTGAAGTTATCCTAATAACTTACTTAGTAAAATCACAAGAGGGACATCTATTAATGGTCCAAAGGATTTTGGAAAAACAAGCATGACCAGCTACATTTAAGACTTCAGATTTCAAGGTTTTCAGGTTATCACATTCAGATGAGATGACAAAACCTTTGTGGCTTGAAACCAAGAGCTTGGGTGATCAAGCATTATTCTTGGGAGACAATGATTCTCTAGCTGTTTTGGCTTCAAATTTTTCTGGATGCTTTCCGAATTGTATTTACTATATAGATCATTATTTTGGAATTAGCAATTATGTTCCTCATGGTCCTGATGATGACACAAGTGTCTTCAACTTAACGGCTGGGAGCTTCGGGTCGCATTATAGACCAAATCCAGAGTACTTGGTGCCTCCAATTTGGATTGTGCCAAATTTGAGAGAGGATGTCATTCAACCTATTTATCCGAATCAGGCCACTCCAGTAGCTTTCCTTTGATGTTGATTATGCTTGCTACTTGTTTTAGTCCTAGTTTTGCTACATCTATTGCTTCTATTCTTCATTATATAACTTTTGCTCAGTAACAAAGTGGCTAGAAAGTTTTGCTGAAGTCCCCAAAATTAATTATAGGGAGAATTACACCTAGACACCCTGAGATTTGTCACTTAATTACTCAGACCCCCTAACATTTGAAATATTACACACAAACCCCCTAAGGTTTGTACGCGCGTAACACTTAGACCCTAACGTAAATATATCTGTTAATAAATTATACTTAAACCCGTTTGAAGTTTGTAAGCATATAATACTTAGACCTCTTAAGTTTCAAATATTATACTTAGACAAAAAATACTTCAATAAAAAATAAAATATCAAATATTTTAAATTTTACAATTAAAATTGATGTTCTATTGTATTATTTATTGAAATAAAATCAAAAATAAAAATTCAATTTTTTCTTAAAAAATCCTAATTAGTATACAAATTGTCTATTGAAATTTAATTTGGTCGTTTAAACGACCAAATTAAAATATTAAACTATCTCAATTAAAACTAAAATATATTGTGTCCATTATAGTTTGACCCCTTATTTAATTTTTATTTTATTTTTATTCTAATAGATAGTATAATTATATACTAACTATAATTTTTTTTTAAAACCTAAATTTTTATTTTTGATTTTATTTAAATAAATGACATAATAGAACATAAATTTTGGTTATAAAATTCATGTTCTATTATAAATGACTTAGATCCCTTATTTGATTTTTTTTTTGTTTTATTTTAATAGATAGTATAATTGTATATTAATGACGATTTTCAAAAAAAAATTAAATTTTTAATTTTAATTTTATTTCAATAAATAATACAATAAAACATGAATTTTAGTTATAAATTTAAAATATTTGATATTTTATCTTTGATTGGAGTATTTTTGGTCTAAATATAATATTTTAAACTTACGGGGTCTAATTATTATGTACCTACAAACTTCAGAGGGGTTTAAATGTAATTTATTAACATATATATTTATATTAGGGGTCTAAGTGTTACACGAGTACAAACTTTAAGGAGCTTATGTGTAATATTTCAAATGTCAGGAGTTCTGAATAATTAAATGACAAATCTTAAGGAATCTGAGTGTAATTCTCCCTTAATTATAAAAAGCAAACATTATATCATATTTGGGTCTAAAGGGATGGAATGCATTTTCAGTGTTGATTTTGCATAGTGGATAATTAACACAAATAATATTTACTAGAAAATAGGAATTCAGAAATATAAAAAAATAAAATATGACAAAAAGATATAATATGGTTCGATACAGAATACTTTTCAAAAATTTACATTGATGTATTATTCATTGAAAAACTAGACATCTAATAACTAATTACATAATATTCAATCATGTTTATAAGGATAAAATACTGTAACCTAATACAATTTAGATACTGTCAAATCTCTATGTTTCCTATTAGGCCTCTAATAAACTTATCTATGATTTATTAAGTCTCTTCTAATACGTTTCCTATTAAGCTCCATCTATCTTGCGCATCTCTCCTAGAACACTAAAATCTAATAGCCTTGGCAAGGTCTAATTTAGGTCTAAAATGTCATTTCTCGGTATCATGCCTCTAAACTTCTATCTAATAAAAATGTGTCACATATAATTTTTTTTATAATTTATTATTTTACTATTTTTTCAATCAATGTTTACAAATCATTCAATTAAAATCAACTATACGGATCAAACTCTGGCACGGTACCCTAGCCTTATTCATCTAAATAAGGCTATTTACATGCATAAAAATTCATATACCTAAACAATGAGCCAGAGCTTATATCTAGAAAAATTACCAGCAATGAAGGGTATGAATATCCCATTAAGTCATTGTAAATAGATCAAAAGCATGTATTTTGGGGTGTCACACAAACACGTGCTGGTCACACTAGAAATTAATTGAGAGTGATATATAATATGTAATAGAATATATTAATGTTTTTGTTTTGCAATTCATTTATGTCTTGTTGCGCTTATACCCGGCTGCAATGATTAAAAGGTTTTTTGGAATCACCAAGGTAGTGATTGACATGGTTTCTACGGCTTTAAGGTAGTTTACACTTTACAACATTGCTTAGAGTAGAATAGAGCAGCATATAGACAAGTTTTGCATCACCAACAAGGGTAGAATGTCAATCTAAGTTGTTTCATTTCAAATTCATGTCGCGCATTATAAATTTATGTAGTATTGGGATTTGTAAAAACTATTTAAATCTAAAACAATATAGACAAACTAGATCAACAAATACAAAATGCTTCCTTCTTATAATACCAGCTAATCAGGTCGCTGGAGTTTGTGTAGACCGTGGTGCTGGCGAGTGGCGATGCCCTTCACCATTGACGTTGGCGGAGCACTTGGCCGCATTTGGGTAGACCCAAGCGACGGGGCCCCAAGTTCGGTTCGCTTTCTTGAGATACTTGGCCTGGTTATGGTGTCTTAGCCTGTGTGTACCTTGACTCGCATTGGAAAATTGTAGTAAAAATGAATTGTGTTTGGAATGCAGAAACTTGAGACAGGTTACTTGTGGATTCTAACTCAATTTATTTAATATTGTCTTATGTTTAGATTGACCGACATAACTCATACACAAAGAACCCAGGACCAGCATCCATTTTCTCTCAATAATACTTGTAATCTACATCTACATGAACAAAAAATGCACTAAATCCATATATTAGTAAATTCGGATTTAAAATCATGTGATTTTCTACAAGGATTTATATAATACTTTATAAGAAAATAGAAAAAATCATTTTTTTCAAAAATAGTTGTTAAATAAGTTTATCATGTTAAAATCGGATTACTTATATTTGACCTAACTTATTTATTATTCATTTTATTAAAAAGTGGTATCAAAAATTTCCACCCTTAATCCTCGGCATTGGATGCAAGTTGAGGGTATTAAAAAAAAGAAGGTATTCTCGTCAAAAAGCAGGAGGAACATCTATTAATGGTCCAAAGGATTTTGGAAGTAAACAAGCATGACCAGCTACCTTGTAGGACTTCAGATTTCAAGGTTTTCAGGTTATCACATTTAGATGGGATGACTAAACCATTGTGGCTTGAAATCAAGAGCTTGGGTGATCAAGCCTTATTCTTGGGAGACAATGATTCTCTAGCTGTTTTGGCTTCAAATTTTTCTGGATGCTCTCCGAATTGTATTTACTATACAGATCATTATTTTGAAATTGGCAATTATGTTCCTCATGGTCCTGATGATGACACAGGTGTCTTCAACTTAATGGCGGGGAGCTTCGGGTCGCATTACATACCAGATCCAAAGCACTTGGTGCCCCCAATTTGGATTGTCCCAAATTTGAGAGAAGATGTCATTCAACCTATCTATCCGAATCAGGCCACTCCACTACCTTTCCTTTGATGTTGATTATGCTTACTACTTGTTTTAGTCCTAGTTTTGCTACATCTATTGCTTCTATTCTTCATTATATAACTGTTGCTCAGTAACAAAGTGCATACGGTTGTTACTCAGGCTAGGAGGGGGGGTTTTGACTACCAATTGGGTAACAGAACCACCCATACAGATTTTGGAAATCATATGTAAGGAAGCAAAAGTTGACATAGGCTAGGCATTATGTAATCTTTGATGTTTCAATGAATGAAGTTTATATTTCTGACCAAAAAAAAATAAGGTAACAAAGTGCAATAGAAAGTTTTGCTGAAGTCCCCAAAATTAATTTGTGTTTTGCCGGAGTCCCCAAAATTAATTATAAAAAGCAAACGTTACATCATATTTGGGTCAAAAGGGATAGAATGCATTTTCAGTACTTACCATCTTAGAGAGGTGGCCAATATGTAAATTCATAGAACAGAAACTAATAGGTTTCATGTGACAGAACAGAGTTTCATTTTCGCCCGAATGCAGGATCTGAAACAAGCCAACTTTGGATAGCTAAATGAGCTAAACTTTGAACAAAGCTCCAAGGTCAGGACTGTTGTCATTGAGCTGGATTGATCAACTCTAGCTTGTATCTTATACAATGGACTTGTGCTGCAGAAAGAAAAGCCTAGCAAGTGCAAAAGCAAGAAGCAGTTTTCCAGTGGTCAAGCATGTTGATCAACAGCTGTTAACTTCTATTTTCACACAACCAGATGCTTCTCTATGGGGCACTGTGAGGTTGCTTCTTTGCATTAAGTTGTTTATGTCCAATCAGCTATATCTTCTTGTAATGTAGCTGGTAGTCACTGTTCTTGTGGTAGAAGGGAAGAAGGTGTCAGGGGTCCCTATATGCATATTTTGAATATTGAGCAAATACATTTTCTTGAGAATAAAACATGTAATTGCATGTTTTGTACTTTTTTTTTTTGCATTAGAATTTTCTGATTGATCTTGATTTGCATATTTATGATTTTGTGTGTTAAAATTTATAGGTTAAATTGTTGTAATTGCCCTGCGATTGGCCACACATTTCTTTTTCAACTAGGTCTTAATCGAATTGATGTTCTTAATTCTTGATATGGCTGTAAAAGACATATCTATCTCAGAGGATAGTGAGTGCAAATTTCTATTTCTCTTGGGAAGCTACTCAAAAAGATGGAGAAAATGTAAGTTTTTTATCTCCAACGCTAGCTAATCTGTTTAATATTCACATTTATAAATAAATATGTTTTTATTTCCTATTAATACTAGTTAAATTTATGTCAGATTCGTTATGTATACGTGTTGATAAATAAAGTTGACGTCCAAAGAACGAAAGCAGATTGTTAGAAGGAAAACATACTCAGGATGTCGTTAGGGGTCATGCTTGGCCAAATACATAAATTGGAGGAGTGTCCCCTTGTTTTAACTCAACGGGACCACAGTGGCACAGTGCTAACCTGAGATGCAGGGAGAGTATTATGTGCAAATTGATATTTTACACAAAAGACGGAACCGTTTTACTCGGAAAATTTTTGTGTGGGTTTAATGCATCACATAACAGTATCGTGTGGTATACATTAACAATAAAAAGTTATACATATTCAATGAATGGTTGACACTTACTATCTTGTCATAATTTTCTCCGAGAAAGACAACTTATGTGTCCCACAAGTTGTTTTGTGCGCGTCTTTTATTTTGTGTGAACACTACATAACACTATTAAATGATGTATTAAACACATACAAAATTTTCTCCATCTATTCCCACTGTCAAGTTAAATTCAAACATTGATTACTGGTCAGTTTCACTGTTAATTAGCTCATGAGCCATCGCAGTTTATTTGCTAAATAGTCACTTCCAGCTTTTACATGATTCAGTCTGCAAGTTTACTATTTTAGCTAACCCAAATTTAACATGGTGGTCCCATGATTTAAAAGCACATATCCTTCTTCATTCATTTACAGACACCAACCCACATATTTTGTCTATGAATGGGGACTATATTTCTTTTACATTCATCTACCACCTCAATTTTTTCTTATCAATTTTTTTTTCAATAACCTTTTTGCTTCGTAGATTGAGAGGAAAGTCGAAGCTTTTTTCTTTGGTTTTTAAACGGTTATTGGCTTGTTGATTTGCCTCTTGGTAACAGGAAACTAGCAGATTTGTTATTTTCTTTTCTTTCATATACCTTTGCCGGAACCAAAGAAAGAATAGGAGAGCAGCATTTTTGCTACGTTTTGAGGATGTTCATGTTGATCTTTGCATAGATTGCAGTATCCATTAAAGTTGTGGTGGTGCTCATGTTGCTATTTGCACAAGGAGGTAGATGAATGTAAAAGACAGCATTAGCGTCCCACGATTTTAACGGATATTGCAATACATCAAAAACAAAAAAAAAAAACATTGCACACAAAGTTGTTCAATACTTGCTGAAGAATGTTTAAAAACAATGTGCCTATAAAATGGGGTGTTGGATGTCTATAAATTCAGCCACCACCTCACTTCTTTCTCAGCGATTTTCTTTTTGCATAACCACTTCTCTTTGAAGACCAACATGGAAGCTGTTGAAGAAATAAGACAAGTCAGCAACAGAGAGCCAGTTGTTAGTTTGTTACAGTTTGTTACAAAATTAGTTATGAAGTATTTTAATTAGAGTTAGTTAGATTTAAGTGATGCTAGAATGACAATGAGTTTGTGTATAAATTACTTCTTGTAATATTCTCCTAATAAGTGAGTGAAATAAGACATTTCTTTCACTCCAATCCTCTACTCTCTTCTTTCATTTCCTTCTCTATTCACCTCTGTTCACCATTGGTTTTATCATGGTATCAGAGCAGATTAAGCTTCCTCTATAAAGAAGATTACTCCTCATCAATGGCAACAAAAGCCGAAACACAGACAACTTTGAATTCTGCATAGTCTTCCTCAAGATAGATCGAATATGCTTCTCATCCATTCTTTCTTCACCATGGAGACAGTCCTGGTGCATTATTGGTTTCTCAACCATTAACAGGAGATAATTACAATTCCTGGAATGGAATCGATCCATGTTTATGGCATTGAGTGCTAAAAACAAAGTAGGATTTATCGATGGAACTGCTTGTAAACCATCAAAGACAGATCCTCTCTTCAATCCTTGGGTTCGCTGCAACAATATGGTGATTTCTTGGATCTTAAACACTTTGTCGAAGGACATTGCAAAGAGTGTTTTATATGTGAATTCAGCTAAGGGGATTTGGGATGATCTCAAAGAAAGATTCTCTCAAACAAATGGACCGCGGATCTTCCAATTGCAAAAATCGATCTCATCTCTGATGCAAGATCAACTTACTGTGAGTTTATATTATACTCAGCTTAAAGGTTATTGGAATGAGTTGATGAACTATCGACCTTTACCTACATGTTCTTGTGGAGCTTTAAAGACTCTAATTGAGTATCAACAACAAGAATACATCATTAAATTCCTAATGGGATTAAATGATTCATTCTCTCACATTAGAAGTCAGATACTATTCCAAGATCCACTGCCTTCAATCAATAAAGTTTTTTCTCTGGTTCTTCAAGAAAAAAGGCAAAGAAATGTGTTCCCATCAATTCCTTCAAGTGTTGAATCTGCAATTTTCTTAAGTAGATCATTTTCTACACAACAAGGTGGAAATAAGCAGCAACAAGGTGGCAATAAGCAGATTTCCAACAAATCCAAGCCAACCTATTCACATTGCAGTATTCTAGGGCACATTATTGATAAGTGCTACAAATTACATGGATATCCTCTAGGTTTTCGTTTCAACAAAGGCAAGAATAATCCAAGAGGGACAAATCAAGTCAGTGGACATGTGGATAATGAGAATCCAATAGTTGAAGACAAATTCGAGACAAAACCAGATCCTCAATTATCAATCACGCGATATCAGATTCAACAGCTATTAGCACTTTTGAAACCTCAATCTAGATTCCATCACTTCCACAGTTAAGTCATCAGTGAAACTA